AATACTAACAAATATTAAAAGAAAATGGTTTAAAGAATGTGACATGAGCAAAAATTGAACTTCTGTCTCCTCAGTTTGTAACACTAACATTGCTGCATTTTTTTAATTGAATAAATTTACAATAACTGGATTTCCTTAGTGATCCATCTTATGTAAATATTGATTACTTGATTGGGCTAACAGATGGTCCTATTCATATAACAAAAGTAATACAATTGAGAAGATATTGCTTGTTTGATCTTTAATCCAAAATATCTGGCTACAAGCAGTCTCTTTGGTTTAAAGAGTAAAATACTAGGTCGATGGTTGAACAGTTTCATAGCTACTTTTATGAGTGTTCTACTCAAAAAAATATTTACATTATTTACACACAGACTATTGGCCTCATCTTTGTTGTTCATGTTGTTATCACAATGTTTCAGCCATTGTGCCTTCTGGCCTTCATCAGTAATTAAGAAATTAACCTTTTCTAGATTGTTCTTGTTTTGCTAGCTATGTCCAGAGATAGTTCTTATTTAGTAGCTCATTCTATTTCCCCTGAGCCCAAGTACACATTGCCCAAGCCAGAGATTGAACTTGTAATTACTATATCACCAAATTCACAAACCAATGCTTTAATCCACTAGGCTATTGGTGGGACAATTTTTGAGCTTTAAACCTAACCTGCCTGCTGATGAGTGCTACTGCTCCTTGTTACATTCAACTGCACTCATGGACGTTTCATTTGACTCAGTAGAAACAGAGTAAGCAGTAACTGGAGATGGATAGAACAATCTATGCTTGTAGATTAAATAAAGGGTTCAATTTGAAATTCCTTGAAGGTTACCCAGATTGGCAATTACCTGTTGAAGACTGGAAGGCACAGCAGCCAAAACATTGTGATGACAACAAGAAGGATTGAGGCAATAATCTGTAGGTTAATAATAATAATCTTCATCACAGAAATCCGGACAGAAATCTATAATATATTCACTAAAATATAACATTTAAAGTAATAAGAAAATTGGTTTTATCTTTGTTGTTCATATAAAGATTATATATGAAAACATCGAGAATAACTTCCTGAAATTAATACATATATAACTTTTTTTCAGTTAGTATGTATATGTTAGTGTTTTTAATAATGTTCTTTATATTCTCAATAAGTGTTTGTTTTTAATAGAGTGAAAGGAAGTTGCACACTCAAGAATTCTTGCCTACTAGATGGGAAAGTAACAGATGTTATAGTACAAATCACAAAGGGAGTTCACAAATCAGATATTTATTTGTTTAATATTTTCATCTATTTTTCTCAATGAAATTTACAAAATACATTGATCACTTCTCATCTCATCTGTAGCTTTGTTTTCTATGGTTTCAGTTACCCACATTCAACCTCAAAATAAATTTTAATTAATAACACTCCCCCAAAATACAAGAGTTGAGTTGCTGGCAATTCAGACATGGCAAAGAAGTGCTTCAAGTGAAAAGTTAACATTTTCAATTTAAAAAAAGAACTCTGTAAAAGCAAATCAATCAATCCAGAGCCAAGCCACATGGCAGATTCATTCAGAACAGAGTCAACTGATGAAACCTAGCAGCACAATGTGCAGCTACATCCATATTTCAGTTTTTGAGAAGAGAAGGGTACCCTCTTTTACAATGGTTCTTCTTTTATACATGGTCGGCTCCCAAAATAAATAATTCATAAATTTTACTTAATTGAATCCAAAGAGCAAGAGTAATGATGCTGTCAATTTGGAGATGCTAAAGAAAAACTTTAAGATGCTTAAAGTGAAGTTGACATTCTCAACATGAAAAAAAACATGCTAAGTTCTATGTTAAGAATAAATCTTTGGTTACATAACTTTTATAACAGCCTATTGTTCTAATTTATTAGTAGTTATTGTTGTTAAATGTTCTTAATTTATTGGTTAAACTTTATCAGAGGAATATAAAAAAATATATAGTTCAGAACTATCTTCTGGGAGTCATGGAACATATTCCTTATATATAGGGGGTGATAGTTGAGAGAAAAGTATTAAATGTGTATAAAAATATAATTAAAAAGAAAATAAAGGCATATCAAATTTTAAAATAATTTTGTAGCTTTTGAAGCAACCTATCTACTGATTGGATGAAAAAGAGTATAAATATTCAAATCTATCAAAGAATAATCCAGTTTGGGAAAATCATTCAAAATAATATTATTAATTTTAGTAACAAGGTTTCAACAGCTGATTTCATGTAGTTAGATAAGTTTTCTCCAGCTGTTAAAATCAGGTCAATAATGAATGAGCTAAAACTTTGCATGCTGAAGGTGAGTGTAAGGTCATTAACTATAACATAACACAAGAAACTGATATTAGCATGCTTGGAAAACAAACTTAGAGTGAATCTAGTTTTAGGAGCATAAACTTGTTAGGTGACTAACTTCTGAACAGAATGTTGTGGTTTAAAATACCTTTTTCTTCAAAAATATATAGTAAGTCACTTTATTTTGAAATAGTCATAAGAAAAAGTACATTCATTTGATTGCTGGTCAAATGAAAATAAGACAAGTAATATTGGATAAAAACAAACATATATAAATAAAAACTTCTTAATAAAATATGCTTTCCTCAGAGTTTAGCTTATCCTTGATATTGTTTTTAGTTGGAAAAGCTTTATTTGCAAACTTTAGTATGTATTGATTGAGAAGTTTTCTTTCTCAAGTGATTGTGAATTAGATCAGCTGTTGTCATGTGGCTTATGCAATCACAGAGTAAACATGATAACAGCTGACAGAACTTTTAGCATTATTTCATTTCTAACTGCAGATTTTCTATTCACCTTAACTATTTGTATACTGTAGTCAAATAACCAAGTGTTTGTAAAAAGTTTTTAATTTTGAAGGAATGAATGGTTTAGACTAGGCTGGCCTCTTTCTATAGTTATAACAGATATAACAGCTTTTTAATGCGAGAATGGTTTACTCAAATATCTACTCACTTTCTTCACTATTAACCATTATCACTCTGTATGTGGCTTTATTTGAAGTACGAGTAGTTTATCCTGCCATTGTAGGTGATACTGATCCTTGAACAATAGTGTGCTTGAAATTCATAGTTGTGTTGTCATATCCTGCTAGGGCAACAGAAAATAACTGAGTTAAATTAACAATAAGGATACTGCAACTGAAAGTCCTTGAAAAATAATGCAGTGGAAAGGGAAGTAATATTAATAATGCAGAGTGCAAAAGGTTAATTATTGCAGCTAGCCAACAAGATGTTTTGGCCAAGATTATTTGGTGAGGGAATGATGTACAGGGATATTGTTTTAAGCTTTTCCCAAATGCATAAATGCAGAATACAAAAGATTAACATTTTTAATTCACTCGAAATTGGTAACACGTGCAAGGATAAAGGATGACAATTGCAATAAAAAAAATTAAATACTAATAGTAGCAATGGTGTAATAAATATTTTGGACTTTCTTGATTAAAAAAAAACCAGAAGACATTATACATACTTGGTTTAATTGTACAATATGTAAACAGTTAAAAAAATAAAATAAAAATGAATGTTTTGTGTAAGTAAGCTCAATTTCATTGAAAGAAATTATATGTTAAAACAGCTTTGTAATTTTTTAAATAAAGAATATTGGTAGTAAAAAACAAAACAAAATGTGATGAAGTTTCCGCATTGAAAATACAATCTGGAAATAATAATACACTAACATGACAAAAGTCATGAGGTAGAATTATGTAAAAGTAATTATCAGTAGCACCACTGTACCTTGAAGTCATAGAAATGTCTAGACTTATATCAGTTGTGATCATGGTCTAGGTTGCTCATGGCAAAGTGACATGAATTATTGAAGTTCAAATAAGGCCTGGATGCTACACAGATGTGATATTCCATTTTTTAAACTGTGGGGACATTTAACATCCCTTGATTTACAATGTCATTATTGTTCACTGTGGATAGACAATACAGTGGCTCACTACAGATCCTTAATGATCACAATCATGTGGCTAGAATTATCTTTGGTAACAGGCAAGCAACACTGGCTCAAATTGCATACACATTCAATGCAGGAGGTACCAGATGAATATCCAACAGTGTTCTTTAACTTTTATGGAATATAGAAGGAGAAAAGACACCAGGGTGCACCTGTTAACATCACCAGACACAATATCTTACCTAGGCTCAAGACATTGCTAATTGGACCTTGGAGGACTGGCAATGTATGGCATGGTCCAATGTATCATATTTTCAGATCAGTTGTCAACATGGCACTGTGCTAGCTGTTTGTGGTTCCATAATGGTATAGGGTAGGTTTATGTAGTATAGGTTAGGTTGGCTGGTCTACCTAAAAAAAAAAATCATTCTCCAGTGACCAATACCTTGCACTGTTTTGTGACCATTTGCACTCCTCTATATTCTGACAAGAATGGTTTATTCTAGCAGGATAATGTATCATGTTATCAAAGACAAGTTTTCCAGAACTGATTTGAAGAGTATTCTGGAGAATTCCAATGAATGATGTGGCCCACCACATTTGTTTGATCTGAGCTCAATTGAGTATTTATGGAGTTGTGGTGGCACACTTTATTCACATGAAAAATCCTGCACCTACAAAAATCAGGAAGCTAGAGACATGGCTTGATATTTCTTAATATATAAAAGTATTTAATTATACAAGTTAATTGTATGGTGAGCAGGGTAGGTACCGTTCTGTATGCTTGCACACTCATCCATAAGTTGATTGACTATCCATTTTCTATAGCTTATCAACCCTTTGCAGGTTATTTAAAGCCAGAAAATAGTTTTAGATTGTAAGAATTTTTTAAGATAATAATGGTTTAGTGATACAAGTCACACCAATTAACCCATAGGTAGGAGTAAAAGTGGTGGACTCATATGTTTCCCAAGGGGATTTGCATGTAAGTGATTATAACACACCCAACTGGAATTGGAACTCGGCTGTCTGATTAACAATTTCAAGCTGTGATTCGTTACACAAGCCACACATCCAAGCTTACAGCACCTGGTATTCACAAACGGTCACTTATCAAAGTACTAACTAATCTCAACATTGCTTATCTTCGGTGATAGTACAGGAACCTGTGTTTCAATGTGATGTGGCCATAAGCCTCATCCATAGGTTTATTTGAGTAAGAAAAAAAAAATCAATCCTCATAACTTAATCTCCTTTATCATAAACAGGTCTTACTTTGTTTATTATTACTTTTCTAATGCATGCTAAACTGCAGAAAACTTATCGATAGCTATTTCTCAATGATGGTGTGATACGGACATAAAAACTTTGATAAACATAGACTTATGTGCCCGCAATAAGACAAAGTGTCAAAAGTACAGTTTTTCCCATGATACCGCTTTTTTTTAACTACCTACACTCTTCAGTAATATCTAGTGTTTTAAAAAGTGATGATTAAACACCTGAAAGTGAATTTATACATTTTCTTTGTTCTTGAGAATTGACAACAAAAATAAATAATAAATACTATTTATTTATTAGACTGTTTATTTGCAAAAATAATTTTATATTTATAAATAACTTTCATATGTTTGAAGGTTTTATTCAGATTCTAATCAACATTTTTTAAAACAATAAACATTGTCAAAAAAAAGTGGTGTCATGGGGGAAAAAACGTCCTTTTGTTGACACTTATTGTGGGTACATTTATCCATGTTTGCCAAAATTTATGTATTTCCAGCTCAAAGCCAATGTATATCATTTCTTTACCAAAATTAAAAATGAGTATCGTCTGTTAACTGTTTTTAACGTCCGAAATAGATGATTTTGTAGTAAGCATGGGATGAATTTTGTACTATATCAGATAATTATTATTAACTAAGCAGAGTAAATTAAATTAGGATCCTTCTTAGAATTGAGAAAAATGCTATAGCTATATGTGAGAAAGGCTAGAAAGTGCACCGGAAGTGTAATATTAAAAACAACAAAAAAGATAACGATACTAATTTAAGTAAATCATATCTCATAACAATAACAGAATTTATTTTGGTAAATTTTTATTTTAACACCCGAGTGCTAATTTCCCTTTAAATTTTTCCAAAATAGTCTTATTTCCGTGCAAATGTATATGCTGAACTGAAATCAACAAATTAGATATTGAAGAAACCTACCTTTTTGGATGTTAACGACCTGAAAAAAAATCAAACTTTTTCCTGGTCTTTCGTCAGCCATTACCGGCTTATTGATAAGTAATTCAGTGCTGAATTTTGGTGGTGGACGTATATAATTTGGGCCTATTTACTTCCTTCACAGTAATTCCTTGTAGAAATTAGTATGTGCTTCCGTAAAGCAATTTTTTTTTTTACTTAATTTAAGAAGAAAGTTAATTTTCAAATATATGTAAACATCGACAAATAAAAGAATAACAAAGTAATATTTTTTTTTAAGAAGAAAGTTAACTTTCAAATTAGGGTTAGGTGGTTTTTTTTTGGTTATTCTTTTTTTTTTTTTAAGAAGAAAGTTAACTTTCAAATTAGGGTTAGATGTTTTTTCTTTTCTTTTGTTATTCTTTTATTTGTCAATGTTTACATATATTTGAAAGTTAACTTTCTTCTTAAATTAAAAGTACAAAAAAAATCGCTTTACGGAAGCGCGTACTAATTTCTGAAAGTGAAAGAAAATAGTTCAGCAGTGAATGACGCTCGGGTGTTAAAATGAAAATTTACCTTTATTTTTAAAGTAGTATTATTACAAATATACCTGTCCTATCTTAATTACTTTTTTTTTTTTTTTAAAGTAATCAAAATTTTTATTACTACTTCTTTACTAGTAACTACTACTCTGATAATAAGCAGACATTCTTTTTTTTTTTTCTTTACAAATATTTCCGCAAAATTTGAAGAATTAATTTAACAGTTTTACTACTTAACGATGTTGTATTTTTTTTTTTAATTTTATAACAAGAAAAAGAGTAATTGGAATCTTTTTTACTGTACTACCGTCATTTTGTCATCATCGACTGAAGTGAAAATGTAAAGATTTTTTTTATCTTCACTTCGAGGTATAACTGATAGTAACTGATATAATTACTTCAATATAGCAAAGTAATTTTATTTCAGTTAATTATTTTTAAGAGTTTTTTTTTTATTTTAATTAATTAGATGAGAAAATAACTCAATTTTTTTACACAAGTTGATCTATTGACTTTCTTTTCACGCAGCCAAGAAAAGCTAAGATTTTAAATTAATAATTTTAATAAGAAATGTTTGAGAGTAAGAGATTTAAAAAAAAAATGCAATGAGAGTGAACTTACATTTTATTTGGTTAATGACAAAATAGTTGGCAAGGATTTCCATCAAAAAGAGACAGCTCATAACAGGCAAAGGAGAGAAAGGGCTGAAAAGGGCCCGTTCCAAGTGAAAGGGAAGACGGCCCACCTCATAGCGCGCACTTTCCCAGTATTTTTTCAATTTCGCCATAACAAAAAGAGAGAAATAAGAAAAATAACAAAAGAAAATCTAAAGAAACCGTAAAAATAATTTTTTTGGTTCGTCTTCCAGGACACGTGGTGGAAGTAGTCAACTGAATTTACTTCCGGTTGGATACTACCGCCGCCTAGCGACCCCGAAATAAAAGTAATTTCTAACAAAGAGAAGATAATTATATAGAGCGAGGGATACGCCTGCATAGCAGTTCTGTTAGTGATATTTACTACAAATTTCAGATTCATCTCATAACAGAAATCTAAGGATCGGAAGTTCAATCCAATCTCCTTACACATTTACAAGAAAATTGTTTTCAAATCAGAACAAAGCATTACCCCTTACAAAAACATTCAGTTTAATAAAATTAACAATACTAACAAAATTATGGAAACTAGTGTCGTCAGCTGTCTGTGTAGTAACGGTTACTACGTGTCGTAAAATCAACAGGTTTTTTCTTTATTTGCTTTTTCCAGGTCAATATGATAAATATTGTGACATTGTCATTCATTTATTAAATGAAGAAATGAATGGTCTTGTGTCGTGTTCATAAAAATATAAAATGAATTAACTTATAACATTGTCATAGAATATTTAATGAAAAAAAAAACATAAAACGATTTTCACGTGATCATAGCTTTTTTTTTAACACTTTTTTTACTTAAATTATTTAAGTTTTAAATTTAAAATAAAAATATTGTCTGAAAATATCGAAAAAGTGTGTAATGAATCAATTTCATTTAGAAATAATCTCTATTCTGAGATTCTCTATTTGTCTTTTGTTTTTTTTGTTTATTATTGTTTAAGACTAAGAGTGTACGGAATTATTTTTCACCCAGACTTGATGCAAAGTTCTTTGAGTCTGTTGAGGTAAAATTGTAATCATGATTGTATTCACTTACTCCAAGTTGCTAATTAAACTATCACTAGCCAATTTTGTTCTTGTGGTAGATTTTTTTCGTTACTAAGACGTAAAGAAATACTTAAAACAAATCTTAGAACTAAAAGGAGTCAATATGTTTGTCATAAATAAATCATAAATGTTTTTCTTTTTTTAGCAATTCGTCTTGATTTTTAAAACAATCCGTTATAGTTTCAGTTTTTATGTTTTGTTAAAAATACTCTTCTTACTCTTATTCATGTAAATAAATCCAGGAGATTCCTATTCAAAACAATATTAAATTAATTATACAGTTCGAATAAAATTATAATTTCTATAGTGATAGCGTAAACCTAACACACCACGCCAACTGTCTTTCTATGGCAACCAATTAATAAACGAACTCAATGTGAAAAGCTTCCTACTTTTTAAATACGCAACCAACACAAAAATTTAATTTTATTCTTTCAAATAATATTAATGAAAAATGCATAAATATTAATTTTTTGTTTTATAAACGTTACTTGCATGTTTTTGTGTAGTTATTGATATTTATTCTATTAAAAGAGGGTGTTTTCAAGGTAAAATTTTAAAAATACGTAACTAAGGAATTGTGTAATTTGTAGTCTCAGCATTGGCCACGTCATCTTGTATATGCCAATGTCGAGTAGCAGTAAGAAATACTCCCTCTCCTCTTTTTGTTGATGTGTCATTCAATAACAATATTCTTTTAACTGATAGTGATTTGTTATCATTGTATTAACAATCTGATCACTATAGTTTCCCTGACATCTCACCTGCTTGCCAATTAACAACAAACTAAGTTTCTTTAACAGCAGCATTACGGTGCCTTTGCAACTTAAAAAAAAAATCTACTTGACAACTTAGTACCCACATCACAACATTAAACAGATGTTTTTTTACAAGTCCCTTCTATGAAGGAAAGCAAAAGACATGTTTTAAAATTCGAATCTTATACACATGCAAAAAACGTGTTATTTCTGTGTATATGTCACTTAGAATTATTCTATCCATAACTAATTTGTTTTTAACACCTTCATTTATTTATTTTTGGACAAGAGCAAAATATATGCCAGGATAAGAGAAATGGATGAAATATCGGATAACGATCGTCTTTTGGACTTATTATTTAACAGTGCTGACGGAATTTTGAAAGATGAACTTCTTCATTCTTCTTCAATGTCGTGTGAGAATTTTGACCCTGTGGGCTGGGTGAGTATAAACAACCTGTTCACATTAATTTAATTATTTTATTGTTGTTCTCATAAATCAGTAATTAAATATTTTATCAGCTTGCCATTGAGTGAGTGACATTTTTGACGCATTTTGTTTAAAAATGAATTAAAAAATTGACTTGAGTAGAGACCACTTGGTTGTCAAACTGAAAGTTTTCTTTTTTTAAAAAGATAATCTTCGTATTTTTTCTGTATTAAAAGATTAATCTAAATTGTAATAAAGCATTATTCCATATGTTTACGTTTAAAATTAAATAAAGGCTAAAAAGCCAATCAATTTCCTAACGTCAAACAAAAGCTTAATCAGTTTTTTGTCTTTTTTAAGAAGACGAAAGTCCACCAGTCCCTAATGCCATTTTTAAAATTATGATTTATTGTCATCAAATTTAAACAAGGCAAACTAAGACCTGTTTTTTTATTCGCTTTTTTTTCTTTTATAACTGGATTTTGTTTATTTTCTTCGATTACGACAATTTTGTATTCATGCTAATTAATTAGAAAAAATGTATCCTTGTTAAAAAATGTAAAAATTCAAACCTAAAAAGAGTCAAAGACACGAAAATCTTTCTTTTGGATGCCAGGTTTCTTGAAATGTCAAAAAAAAAATTGCTTTATTTATTCAAAATAAATGTTACCCCACCCTTTTGTTCTTTAAATGAAGGTTTTGAACTTCATTTTTCTTTATTCTCCATAATATAAAAATGAAAATTGTCCATAAAAGTTTTAATTCGTTATGAGAATTAACTGAATATTTATTTAAGCTTTTTAAAAATTGTTTTTCTTTAAAAATATTTAATCTTTAAGAATAAGATTCTAACTGAAGTTTAAGAAAATAATATACTATCAAATTTATATTGCATTTTTTTCTACAACTGTGAAAGAAATAATGTTGAAGTGAAGATATTCTACGAATCTTTGTCTTTACACGTTTTTCTGCACTAACTAGTCTTTTTTTCTTTTTTACTGTTTAACTAAGCTTCCCTTTCACTAATGATAGTAAGAAAAGTTATTTTCAAAATGTCATTACTCGACATTTTCAATAAATCAAAGAAAATAAGTCTTTTTTGGAGAATAAAAATGCTACTTAGCTACTATTATTGGACATATGTTAACTTGATTTTTATTGTAATTAGAGACGGTTTTAAAATCTTTACAAAATAAATAGTTACTAGTTTTTTTAGTTTTAAAGTTTTCAGAGAAATTTGCATCGTTGCTTTTTCTTAAGCAACTAGTGAGACAAGCCCAAAAGCTGATGTAATAAAATTGACTTTAAAATGCAGTCGCATTATTGTTGAACTTGAAAATAATATGGAAAAGTTTTGTTTATTTTCTGATTTTTTTTAATGCACCCCAATACTAAATGATTTTTCTTTTGAAACCGTTTTTTATTTTTTATTTTGCCATATCCCTTCAGTTCAGATGATTGGCAAACATGACTAGTCTTTACAATTTTTTTTAATCAGTGAATTAAATATTTATTTATGCATTTTTTTCTTACGAAATATATTGGAGAGGTTTCCCGTTGCCTTATCACAACTTAGAATTTGGAATTCAGTTTTCCAACACACAGACTGGTTGCCAACCAATCTACCCTGCTATTAATTCAGGTTTTAAATTTCTGGAAGAGAAAAGACACATTCATCACGCTTTTATTCCCAACGGCATCTGTGCGAAAGTGAACGCAACAGACTTAAGTCCAGAAGTTTACTTAGTACTTGTTAACTAGTAAGTGTGCATGTTTTTTTTTTTTACTGAAAACTTTTCATGAATTTAAAATAAATGAACTAAGTCCAGTCTTGGTGTGGGGGCGTCTATCCAGATAATGTCTCTCCTTCGGAAGAGTGACAGTGTACTGAATCTTTGGCACAATCCAAAAGGAGACGTGACAAAGGGGCTGGACTTTTTGAGCCATGCACGCGTGTGACTCCCACTTTAAACAATGCAGATGATAATAATTTAATAATAATGCCTGTTAGCGGTTCTGTATGAGAAATTGGCGAGCTAAGTTCGAGCTACAGTACACACACTCAAATTCGTTATAGTCACTTTCGTTTCACGTCAGATACCTTTTTTGGAAAACCTGAATCCATCTCTTTTTCCTCCCCCTTCAGCTATGAGATGAATAGTCGGGCAGATTGGACTCTTTAGCCTTGATTGGCAACCAGTCTAGAAGGACAATTCTAAAAATTCAAAACTTGGTCACTAGTAGAGATGAGGCTTGCCTATTTTGTGATCATCCAAAATTAAACTCTGTTCGGGTGAACGTGCGGGGAAAATGTCTTCTTTTTTTTTTCAACTTCAAATTTCATGTCTTGGTTCTTCTCCCTCCATAAAAAATCAGAACTTACAAAAACGTTCGGTTAGAGATTCACAACTTTTATCTTTTCTCTCTCTTATTTTTTTTAGTTTACTGTTTACCATTTTGTATTGTTTATCTTGCGAATTTTTAAGACTTTTCAGTTTCACTCAGTAAAGCTTAATTTAAAAGTTTAAAATTCAGTATTTTCTGAATAAAGGGATAATGCTTCTTTTTTCTTTTTTTAACTCTAAAAACTCTTTCAGCAAAAATGTTATTCAGTTAAACTTTTTAGTGCATATTTTTTTTATACATGTTCATTTCCTATTTTTATCAGTGAATACGGTTCACACTACTCGTCTAAGTGAAAGAAAAAATTACAAACTGACATTGACAAGAAATCAAGCTTCTTCTTTTTTCCAGTTTAAAAAGTGACATTTTTGAAAAAAATATTCACTTCTTTTCTAACGCTAAAAATCTGTTTTTGTTACTTAGTCCGTTCAAAAATAATAAAACTGGGTTAATTATTTTGTATGTTAGAGTTGAGATAAGAAGAACGTTAGGCTATTGCTCTTAAATTTGTTGTAAGAAACAATAGCGTCTAGCAACTAACGATTGCTAAATTTTCACCACTTAGGAATTAGTAAGTAGTCTACTTCACCCCCTTTTCTCCCTTCGTTTTAATAATTACTGTTTAGTTTAAGGGTTTTACTTTTGCTCGTATTCATCACCAACAGATCGAGCCAAAAATGTTATTTTAATTTCTTTTCAAAG